CACACACACACACACACACACACACACACACACACACACACACACACACACACACTATTGGCCTCATCCCAGCCGGGATTGGATGCCCCGTGCGGCCCCTCCTGTCTCCCTGCTGGCTGCTTGCTGTAATCAGTCATAGTAGAGCAGACACTCCATCCATCATGGAGGCTAAACTCCCTTCATCGCTCTGGCCCATAACCCAGAGCACACCTGTCAACAGCAGCCCGCATCACTGCATCTGACTTTGCACCGTCTCTTTGACTGTGAGAACAAAACTTTAGCTCTAACAGAAATCAAGAGAGAGGTCATTTAAAATCTTTCTTTGAGTCCAGCATCCTTCAATCAAAAATGGAGGCATCTGGTCTGGGCTCTCATGAGACGTCAAAGATGAGCCAGTTTGTACATCAATAATTTTCTAGTCTTTTATTAGAGTTAGTTCTTTTTCTTTAGGTTTAAAACTAGCTTAGTTGGAAAAAATATATACATTTAAAGGTTTTTCAGACTCAAGGACTGTTTCTATGTCTGGCTTTATATATAAAGGCTTTAAATATAAATAAAATTGAATTGAATTGAATTTCTATGTCTGGCTGTTTCATTATATCTCAGTGACACTTCAAGTCTAACGCCTGAATGATCACATCAAATGTTTGCTTTTGCTGTCTAATGTGTCTGAAATATTAAGTCCAAACTTTATAACATAGATTAGGTTAGGACAAATGTTCTCATCACAAGTATTTTAGCCACTGTTGAATCGTGATTATATAACACCATTACTCAGAGAATTTGGAAAATAATATTTGAGTCACCAAACTTAAAAAACAAAAGACAAAAACTTGTCTTTTTAACAGAACGTTTGCTTGAAAAGAATTGTTTGGTAAAGTAAACATGGCACAGGGTGGCAGTGATATGAAGATCAATGCAGGCAATGGAAACAGCTGGGTTAGGAGAGACAGGTGAAGGCAATCAGGAAAGGATGGGAAGGAAGTGAAACTATAAACAAGGCACAGGACACAAATAACTACCAAAATAAAACAGTAAGGAAGTAACTCAGTAACTGAACAGGGGAGCAAAGAGACATGAATCAGCTTAAAAGATGGAAACACATAGAAGAAAAAACATAAGCTCTATAAATGCAAACAGTAACTTAAACTAAAATATAACCCGGAATAAAGAAAACCAAAACTTAGACAGCAAACAAACTGAGAACAAAGAAACTATATTCCATCAAAGTGGCAGGAGGGCGACAGAAGGAAATGAAAGTTGGAGCAGTGACAGAAAAGAATGAGCAGATTGTGGCACAATAACCATTTTATCTTGATTATCTTATTTCAATAATTGATGGCAGACAACATTGCAGTTGAAATCTAAATTCGATCTGTTGCACGGTCCTGCTTCAGGTTGTATTTAACAGCTTGCACAGATGGCATATCCAAGTGATTCTGACAGAAGACCGTCTCCTAGCAATTGGTGGTGAGTGACATATTGGTAACTAGCTGAGTCAAAATCTCTCTCTTTGAATCTCATGCATAATAATTATATTTTTGCACGATCACATGCTTTCGTTTCACAAAACTCAAACACAACTTGAAATATGGTCTTAGGCCTCTAGTTTACTCAAACTCAGTCTGCAGACTACTTTAGATATGTGGCGGTTAATTGAAAATAAGGAATATTAAAAAAAATGTCATGAATTTGAATTTTTTGAGACGAAACACAGTTTTAGAAAAAAGATTTTGACATTTTTCCAAAAAGAGAAAAAGTCCAAATAAAGTCTTTGCCTTCATTTTTAAATGAATTCATTGATAATTTTATTTATTTATTTGTGAAAAATGAGCTAACAAAGATAATAAGAACTTTTTTTTTTTCAAAATACAGTTTATTTAATTGTTCTACTTGGGGCAGGGAAAGCTCAGTAGGTAGCGTGGGGGCCCCATGATCGGAAGGTCGGGGGTTCGAATCCACTGAACGGCTACACTGAGGTATACCTGAGCAAGGTACCGTCCCTACACACTGCTTCCCGGGCGCCCAATGGCTGCCCACTGCTTCACTAAGTAAATGGGTTAAATGCAGAGAGGAATTTCCCCACGGGGATCAATAAAGTAAATAGTACATTGTTATTACATTATCATTAATCTGTATTAGGAGTTTTATTATTGTACCCTTTTATGCCAGATTAAAATTTAAAACAATATTTTTTGTGCAGTGCTTTTTTCTGGGAACAAGACTGTCTGGATTTTCTTTTTCAAAGTCATAACCCACCGTCCTTTCAGTGGAATAAAGATGTGGTCCTGTTTTAGCATTTTGAAGCTCTAGTTGGACAGCAAAGTGGGGCCACGCAGAGGTTAGAGACAAAGTGACGCGAGTGTGAAGGCTCTGCAGGAGGTTAATACTTTGTTTCAGCTTGCTGCTATTTGTTTTGGCATCTGTACATCTGTTTTGACTTTGATTTTTGTTTCTTTGCCTCCACAGATAGCTGCTCTGCAAAGAGGAGGAGACAGCTTCCCACTCATAGGCGCCTCAGGCAAAGTGCTCGGAAAGGTGCGGCAAAGGACAGATGCACAGAAAATAGAAACAAATACCTCTGACAAAGGTGTTGTGTTATTGCTGCTGACTTCAAAGAAAACTCTCGCTGCTGAAAGTCAAACGCAACAAATTCTTTATGATGATCACAACTGGAGAGCGAGATGAATGCTGAAAAGTTACAGCAGACTTCTGTCTTTGAATTCAGGCACTGCGAAGCTCTGACAAGAGCTCGAAGCCAGTGTACGTGTCTGTGGGCCACAAGATCAGCCTGGACACAGCTGTCCGCCTCACACACGCATGCTGCCGATACCGGGTCCCTGAGCCAATCAGACAGGTGGGCCTATGTGCACACACACACACACACACACACGCACTGTAAAAGTGCATTGAGCCATCATGAGTGTTCAGCAGAGCAGCTGCAGGAACGCTAGAAGCCTTTTTTGTGAACAGTAGAAACAAAAGTTGAACTTCTCATCTTAGAAGCAGAACACTGTTTCAGGGAGCGAGCAGTGCTCACCACTTGTGTAACAGTGTCCTGCTGTGAAGCGAGGAGGTGTGAGCATCACGCTATGCAGTGGTTTATTGGCAGCAGGGCCTGGGAGACATGTAAAAATGGAGAGAAGAAGAATGTATGCAGCCAAATTAGGGATGTTCCAATTTTGGCTGTATTTTTATATGAATTCCAGCCCCGGCGCAGAAAACTGTGCAGACAGTTTCAAACGATAAGATGATGCCGGCTGTCAGACACAAGTGCAACAAAGCTATAGTGTGACACTGAAGATATTTTTAACTGCAAGGCAGACAGGATCTTCGCAAAGTTGGAAAGTATATGGTTCATACTTTGCTATTATATTTGAGATGCACAGAAATGAATGGATGATGAACAGAGTGAACTTTTTTAATTAGGCCAATGATATTTTACTTACTTTAGACGCTCCCTATGACCAACAACAAGTAAAAGCTCTTTTATTCGACTAAGAGCCATGTAACCATGCTTTGGTTACTTAAAAAAACCTAAAATCAGCTGTCATAATGACAGCTCTGTAGTGCCACCAGTTCACCACATTGACGCAGAGTGCATTGTGCTTACAAAGTAAGCCTTCATAGATCAAAACATGCACTCAATTATCTTTTTAATTTAAATTTTAAATATTTATTTATTTAAATATTTTAACTGAGAGAGAACATTTTCATTTTAATTATTATTGTAATTTTTGATATGTTAAAATACTTTTTTTTCCAAATACTTTTCATACTTGATATCAAAATTAATCAAATAAAATAAAAAGGCACGAATATTACAGTTGTTTTGAGCATAACTGGTATGTTATCTGTTGCTATTTAAGTTACATTTTGTTTGTTTGTATTTTAAAGAGTTTCCTCCTGGTTTGTGAATATTGAGTCTTTCGCTAATTATAGATGCAAAATGATACATTTGTATAAAAGTGTGCTCCCCTCACCACTAGTCAATTTCCTTCCTCCTTTACTTTGCAAAGGTGAGACGCTGTTTTTGTTCTTCCATCACTCCTTAAAGTGAAACATAAATACAGTTTTAGCCAGAGTGCATTTTATCACACTGTCATGAGGCAACCAAACCTTTGATTAAATGTTTACGGAGGCTGGAGGTGTGTCCACAATCAACATTTTTTTTAACCTGATTTCAACTGTTTTTTCTTTTCTGATAGACATTACTGATTTCCCATGAGCCCTCTGCACTGATTGGTTTTGGTTTTGAAAATGCCACCGATAAAAAATATTTATGCGTGAGGCTCAATGTGCTGTTGATTCCTTTTGTTTAACTGCAGCCCGCAAAAATTTAAGACAACCCAATAAAGTGAGCTGAATTGTTGCCCAGTGGTGGCGATTAAGTTCACTATGAACTTTTTAGTGTCCCTTTTCTCTTGTTGCTCAGCTATATCGTACTCTGCCTCCTGCCCAGTGCATGCTGGCACTGGTAACGGGGTAAGTTGGGATAGAAAGTTAAGTGCTTTTTTAAATGTCTTAAAAGTTTTACTCACAACATAAAATAGCAAAAACAACCACTAAATGTTTTCCTGAGGAAGAGGAGGAACAAGCTTCACCTCATCTTTTTCTTTCTGCCACTAGGCTGTGCTGTGCTTCTGCAGTGCACCATATGATTACTGCAAGCCACCTGACTGCACTGTAAACACACACACACACACACTCACACACACACACACTCACACTCAAAATCAGTTTTATCAGTTTTTTCACCAGAGGAGCTGCAGTAGCAGCGGCTAACTCACCTCCTCCTGTGTGTGTTTATTTCAAGTGTTTTAGCTGGTGGGGAGAGGGGCATCCGGCAGCAACAGGGACTGACTGTGGACATCAGAGAGAAGCAGGAACAATCTTACCTTCCTCTGTCCAGTCACCAGTGCCTCCCTCTTCATCCTCCTTTCTTTGCCCAACTGCTCTGCTTTCAGTCTCTGACATCCACATTCCCTTCTGTGTCTCCCAGCATTGCCCTCGTGTTCTCTCCCGGCTTCTGCCACATCCAGCTGCGATGTTACGTCTCGCTGGCAGGCAAATTTTCATCCTTCAGGCTTTTGAAATCACAGTCACATCTCATGAAAAAAGCAAAATCAAAAAGAGATCAACCTGACAGGAAGACTGAATAACTGAATACGTTTGACAGTAGAAAATGAAAACAGGTTTTTGTGTGCAAATGTTCATCGTGGACAAACTAAAAAGATGCAAATATATATAACTACCCACACTTAAACAGATTCTGTGTCAGTCCCACACTTGCACATACTTGGTAGGACTCCACATCCAAAAGTTGCTTGGCTGACCATCTAGTCAGCCTCTTGTTCTGCATCGGCTCCACCTCAGCTCCAGCGAGGGTGTTTTTGCTTCCTTGTCTCTTTACCTTTGCTGATGTTGAGCAGTGGGTTATTCTCTGTGTACCATGCTGTAAGATTATTGATTTCCTCTAGATATAAATCCTCTCTTCCTCTCATCAGTGTTTATAATCTCACCAGAACGGTTGCGCTCTCTGCAGAGCTCACAATAGAGTTCTCTCTGGGTCTCTGAATGCAATCGTGGGAGAACAGTGTGAACAGGATGAGGCTGAACACTCAAACCTGGAGGTTTGTGGTGTGACGCTCCTGTCTGCGGAAGTCCAACATCTAATGTCAGATTGTGGCGCTAAAGGCCAAAGTGCTGAGTTGAAATCAACAAACAACATACAGATATTTGTGCCTTGACTTTCAAGGCGAAGTGGGAGGAAGTGGAGATCTGATCCTTTGATGGTTCAGCCTGACTGAAATGTTATCTTTAATGTACTGGGCCAGACATTTAAACCATTATCTTCTGCTCATCTCATCTCGTCGGGTTGCTGTAACAGCAGTTTAAACAGTGTATTCCAGATGTCCTTCTCCCCAGCATGGGTTTGCAGTAACTCTTAGGGGGTCCCAACAATATAATCTCTCCAGTGGGTTCCAGATCTTCTTCTGGGTCTTCAAAGTGCCCAACAAAACCTCCAAATGGAAGTGCGCTGGAGGCATCCTGATCAGATACTGAACCGTCTCACTTGGCTCACACAAAAGGAGTAACAGCTGAGCTCTCTGTGGATGTTTGAGCTCCTCATCTGTAAGGCTGAGCCCTGCCATCCTACAGACAAAACTCATTTCACTTGATTGTATTCAAAATATATTACACATTACTTGTTACTTTTCTTAAAAGTTGTGCATTACGTTGCTTAAAAATTCACCTGAGAAAGTAAATTGTTACACTAATTATTGCATTATTTTGATGTTACTCCATAACATGACCTGAAACACACCATCACATAGTTACTAGGTAACAATATAACCATTATGCTTCATCCTGCTCACCGACACAAACCAGTGTCGTATTGAGGGCACACATACGACCTTTCTTTAGTGTTTACATGTGTACTATGTCTCTACCTGTTAAAGTTCAGGCTCTGGCTGCTGGGCTGGGGTCAGCATACACTCAGGTTTAACATCATTCTCAAGTCATAAACTGCTTCACCATTTTCCTCCCCCTACCAGGCAGAAAAAGACGTGTTTTTTTTGTCCTATCCTCCCATCGTGCAGATAACTAATAAACTCTTGTTATACAAGTAATAATAATTGTAACTGTAGTGTGATTACAGATTTTTATATTTGCATTTAGATTATTACGTCACTAAGAATGGTGATTGCAGTAACGTGTTACTTTGGAGCATGTGACACACAAATGTTTGTGACATTAACTGGTCATGATGTCATGACCATGTGAGATGGTTGGAGTGAAAAACTGCTTGTTGGATGTTACGAATAATTCAAGAAATCCCTCTCTGTCCACCTGTCTTTTCTTCTTGTAGCTTAGCAACAGTTCATCCGATGCACTGTGTGTTGCTGGGAACTGCTGTGCTGAGTTTGATGTTATTTAGATAAGAACTTCTCATAATTTGGCTAAAAGTTGTCCTCTATAACCTGTTTTTCTCTTTAGAGTGACACGTGCTGTCTCCACTCAGTATGTAAAGGGAAGGACAAACATAAACACACAGGCCTCAGGGGATATTCACTGACAGGAGTCCAAGTTTTCCAAGTCTCTCGCACCTTAACGCTTAAAAAGACTGAAGGGTGTAAAATATTAATGAGCGCCTGCCAAAAAGTTCTAGCATTTAGAAAACTGCATCACTCACTGGGCCAAAAATGGGTTTTCAGAAAGATAGGTTGACACGTTTGCCTTTCATTGTATTTATTTTTTTGTCTTTGCTGTCACCAATGATTTCAGTCACTTGTGTTGTTTGGACGAGCAGTTCCTGAATAAGCTGCAACCTACAACGAGTTATACATACAAACAGATTTTAAATGTCATAAATGTAGCTGTCCTGTTTTCAAAACACAGAGTTTATGATAGCCTGGGGTGACACGTGTGACACTCTTCCTGAACAGGTGCTGCATCACTGTTAAAAATGTCAGGAATAAGATCAGCCAGGGCATTATTGTGAAAGAAATGCAAGATTTTTACAGTCCTTAATATTTGTGCCAGGAGAGGCAATAAAGGTCAGTCAGCTGATGTTTAGTAACTTTAGCGCCTCTTTATGTTTCTCCAGGTCTTTTAAATTTTTCTGGAAATATATAGGGAATTTTTCGAAAAGATGTTGGCTCATTTGGAGCTGATGATGAAACTGGACTGCTTGATATCTTCTGCAGGTTCTTGCTTGCCATCTGGTGGCTGAAGGTCAAAAACTATGATTCACGTCATCCTCAAACTGTTCAATAAACATGGAAGCATCTGCATTTGTTATATTTTTCTTGCAAGTGTATTCCTGAGACCTTGCTTTTCATTCCTATTTCTTTGGCTTGGTTTTATCAAGGTTTAGCATGTATTCAAGAGTTGTTTTGGCTCTTCTGCCTTTACCAATCTGTATGTAGCAAAAAGAGAGGAGAGCTGAACCAGACGGAACATGTTTAATATTAAGAGATTCCTTCCTTAGTTTGTCCTTGATGCTGCACTTACATTTTTATTACTGACTGGGCCTTGAGATTATATATTTATAACACGACCTCCATTACAAGTGTTTGCAATAAGTAAGAATTAAATTCCTAAAGAGGATTTGATAAAAAACATCCTTCACTGGTTTCATTTTGACAGGGTGGCCTGTTGTGCTTTTCTTTATTTGTAATCAAACATGTTAAAATGGTGAGCGATCATATTAAACATGGCAAAGGACCCAAGTAATGAGGTCAATGCATGTGCAAATACTGTGAGTCCTTTGCTTGTCAGTGAGAGCTCTGATATGGTCGGATCTGTTCAAATGTTCTGCTTGTGAGCGTTTAATCAGAGGAAAAGCGTCTTAGAGTGAAAGGAGAGGAGCAAACTGGACCAGCATGAGATAAATATGGATGATTTTAAACTGTTAGTCATTCAAAGTTGCTCTATGAGAGTTCAGCGGTAAAAAAAATGAAGCTGGAAATGAGCATAATGTACTGAAGGTCACCTTGAGCGGCTGATGGTGCAAAAACAGACAAACTCAGATCTCCTCTATTTTTAAGCTGGGATGTACAGAAACATTAAAACGAACTTTATTTATGGTATTATGTTCCTGTAATTGATTCTTAAAGGAGTGTGCACCTCGTTCAGTTGAAGTGCTTGAACTTTCTCTTTTGAGGTCATTGTGATGTTTTGGGGATTTTTAATAAATAAAATGTAAAAAAAAAAAAACCCCACAAACCCTTGATGCTCATAGTTTTCTGTGCACACAAAGTCAGTTTAGCATCTAAATGCTTTTTTTATATATAAAGATTTGCATTCAGGTTTCCTTTTATTTGGTGTGAGCTTTCTTAAAGCTGTGTAGATTGTGCCATTGGTTACATGAATCACATATATCAGGCAGTGTTAGAGCTGACTAGCTCTGATGTGCTCCAAGCTCTGTGAATTTGTTTGATGGGCTTTGTGACATTTTTTCTGTGACCCGCTGGAGTATCTCCCTGTCTTTGTTCTGGCAGCTGATTTACAAATTAAGCACAGGGCAGGAATATGAATAATTAGATGAAGAGAACGGGTGAAGAATAGATGCTGTTGTACACTGCCACAGAGGCATGGAGAGAGAAATGAGAAACCTAATTACTGTTTTCAGTCTGATCCATGAAAACTAGAAATGTGAGATAATTCATGATTTCAGAGGATAAGAGGATGTGCTCCTTGGCTTCAGGACAAAGGGCTGGTCCTACATATTTCTTTTATTTTGTGTCCCCAGTTTAGCAACTCTATCTTCACTTTTAGACCTCACAGTTTTTCCCTCCAGTGATTACAAAGAACCACATTAGAGTATTCAAATTGTTTTTTTGTTGCAATGGAAAAAGTAATGTATTGATTGTTCTATACAAATAACCAGTTATTTAATTGCTTACAAATTAGTAATCACAGAGCACAGCCTTTATGTTAAAGTCATGCTAGGAAAAACAGCAATTAGATGTCAGTCTGCTATCAGTTTTCAATTAAATAGGGACAAGTTAGCAGTTACATCAAATTTGTATGTGACAAACAGTAATAAAGTGCAAACTTCTTGTCTGTTACAAATCAGTTGCTGTCTACGTGCACAGAAATTCATATTAGCCACTTAAATTCAGAATCTAGTTACAGCTTCATTAACTTGAAGCAAACATTTAGAAATACGTTCACAAATAGTGATATAGTTGCTGCACAATTGTGATTTATCTGCAAAAAATGTCTTATTTAATGAATCATCTTAGTTAATTAACTTTTTTTTAAAATATCAGAATACAACCTGTTGACAACAACATGGCAAGTTGTGCTCATCGGTGCATATATGTGTAAAAAAACATATATTAAAAAAATACATATATAGTTACATGTGGAACGTAACCCTCAACTGGGATTTCCAATTTCCATTTGCAGAGGCCCACCAACCCTGTGAACGTAATAAAAGTGTAAATCTGTTAAGGGACTGTTGTGTATTTGTAATTCATAAAGCCACATACAGGCGCTGATCAGTCTATCCACGAGCATGTTGCAGAAAAAAGCCATTATTAAGATTGTCACCACATAGCAACAGTTTTTTCTAATATTGTTAACCTGAATCTAACTAGTTTCTTTACTTTAATTAAATTCTGGCTGGCATGTCTGGCAATTAATGGTTTGAATAGTTGCTCTGCATATTTTGTTTAATCACTGATATATTATTTTGTGCTATTCAATATTATAAATATTGCAGATTTTGTGCTGCTTAATCATTAATGAGCCATAGATGTTGATATAATTTATCATGCTCCCATTAAAAATGTAATTCATCCATGCTCCTCTCATTTGAATTGTATTTTTCATAATCATGTCTTAGCTGAAATTGTGCCTACGAACATTGAAATTTTGTTGCATGTGTACCTTCCAAAAATAACTCTATTACTATTATTCCAGTTTGAAATAATGTGATTCAGTCTGTTTTTTTCTGTTTTCTCTGAGTTAGATGATCAACTGATTTTTATTTTCGCATCAAATCATTTCATTCA